CCATATGCATGGTAGGGTGGGGGGAGAACTTTGAACTTGGACTCACCAGATGATGACTCTGCTTATCAGTTGGAGTTCTTAGAATCGACCTCAGCGGGAGCCAGGAGGAGGAGCCAGCCTCAGGAGGAGCCAGCCTGTGGAAGGATGGTAGACATCCCACAGAACCCCAGGGGAGAGGCCAGAGATCCAGCTCTGGAAAGTAGGGAGGTTATGATGGAGCAGCCCGCAGGCTGCTGCCGCCTCCTCTCTTTATGGGACCACAGCTATCCCAGCTGCCCTCTGTGTCACGTCTTGGGGGTGCATCCACTGGGCCAGCGGGCCACATGCCCTCTCTCCAACTGCACGAACACTGGGGAGCGGAGGATCTGGAATCCCGCTCAGGAGGGCGAGCAGGTGGATGCATGTGCTGCCTTGTGGAGCCAGATGTGTGTGCACCTCCATCTTAATTATAAGTTGGGTGGAGGACCCAGCATAGCTTGACATTCTGGGACTTTAACCACAAGGCCAAGGACACGTGGAGGCAGCTGGGCGATGCACAGGGTTCTTGTGCGTGGTGGTTCACGGAAAAGTATGGAGGTTCGAGCCTACCCAGTGGTGCCTCTAAAGAAAGGCCTGGTGACCCACGTCCAAAGAGCCAGCCCCCGCCCCGCGGCGGAGCACAGTTCTGCTCAGACACCCACAGGGCCACCGCACATCAGAATGGACGCAGTGACAGGAGGGAAAAAGAGTCCACCCTGTCTGGAGCCCATGTGGGGATGTCGCTGTGAGCTTGGCACCCAGAGGCAGGGCCCTCCATCGGTGGGTGAGTCTGGTGGGTGCCCGGTCCATGTGCTCCATACCTCGGCCTACTCAGACCTCTCCTCACCGCCAATGTGCCAATTCCCACCCCAGTAGCCCTCCAGGACAGGGTAGAACCCCCTGTGGGTTTCTGAGCTATCATCCCTACGGGAGTAGAAAGCCTTGTCTTTTTCCCACAGAGTGGCTAGGGGTTTCGAACCGATGGCCTTGTGGTCAGCAGCCCAGTGCGTCACCACTACACTACCAGATTGGGGGTGGGATGGGGAGGGGTTGGCAGCATCGTGGTGTGCCTGGAATGCAGACAGTGTTGTGGGACCTCTGCCTGTGGGCTGCCCACGCTCCCCTGGGTGACTGAGGAGAGGAAGTGACATCACTGTGCATCCAGCCCGGCCTGTCGGGTAAAGGGCCAAGCCAAACTCATGACACCTTGCGTCAGCAGTCAGTACAGAGTGAGTTTGCAGACACAGCCAAGAAGATGACCGAGGGGGAGGGGTGCCAGGAGGCGGGGCTGCCTGCAGGAGGAAGGGCCCAGAAAAGAGAACCAGCGGGGCTGGCGGAGTGGATGGGAAGGCAAGTTGCCTGGCATGGAAGGTGAGACCAGAAACAGTTCCATCGGCCATTGAGTTGATGCCAACTCATGGTGGCCTGGACTCCAGCGAGGACCCAGCAACTCACTGTTCCGAAGCAGAACGCCAGGCCTTTCTTCCAAAGGGCCGCCGCAAACTTCCAGTTACCGGCTGAGCACGGCTAGTTGCTTTTACCGCCACCTCTCCCCCAGGGACTCCAAGTCTTGAGAGAGGGGGCTGAGAAGCTGCCCCTGTCCCTTTGCCTTCTCCGTCCGCCTCTCTTCCAGGATGTTGAAAGTGGAAACACGATGCAGAAGCCCG